CCTTGAGGAAGGTGCATCAGGCTGAGAGCCAGGCAACCATCGGGTCTGGTAGGGTTACCATACGTCTGGATTTTCCCGGACATGTCTGGCTTTTTGGTCCTCAAATCCCCTTCTGGGAGGAATTTCCAAAAAGCCGAACACGTCCGTGAAAATAGGGAAGCATGGTAAGGGGACCCCGAGTGCGAGTGGCTGCAGCAAAACTTATAACTCCCGCGATCTGCCGATCTCTCCACCGCGCGCTGGGGCCGAAGGAACTTCCCCAGCACAGCAGCCGCCGGGGCTCAGCCGAGGAGCCAGGATGAGGGGAGTCGGGGGGGGGCCTCGGCTCCTTACCTGGCCTGCAGCGGCCGGCAGGACATGCTGGCGCGGGGCAGGGACGCTACCCCCTACGGGGGCGAGGAACCGGCTGGGCTCACCCTCAAGCCGATAAACTTTACATGGCCCGCTCGCACGGCCACGAGCCGCTCTTCCCCGCCGCTGCCGAGGTCCGGAACCCCCCGTCTCCCTCCTGGGGGAGCAGTCCCCTTGCCAGCCCCCTTGCCCGCCCAGTGTCGGAGCTCGTACTCACCAGCTCCAGGAAGTGGAAGCTGCACCACCCCCATCCCCTTCCCCTCCCTCCAGGCTTGTGGCGCCATTACAGCTGCAAGCCTGGGAGGGAGCAGGAATGCCACGTGCTTGGAGAAGAGCGGGGCCAGGGCGGGGATTTAGGGAAGGATCCAATAGGGGAAGAAGGGGGCAGAGTTGGGGCGGGGGGCGCGAGCGCCAGAGCAGAGGGGAAAATTGCTTGTTTGTCCAGTGTCCCTACCGCACATCGGTCGGGATGCGGGACAAACAAGCAGATATTGGGACAGTCCCGATAAAATTGGGACGTCTGGTCACCCTACCTAGGGTGCCCCGTGTCCCAACAGCCCCAGCCCCCTTATAGATCCCAGAGCTCTCCCCATCCCGCTGTGTGACAAAGTGGGGGATTTTCTTCTTTTTTTTCTATGGTTTGCATACAGTTGGGGTGGGGAGCAGAGACGCCAAGCTGGAAAGACCCCTTTGGAAAGGCCCCCTGCTCTGCAGCTCCCCTGGGGGCAGGGATCCCCCCTCCCTCAGACTCAAATCTCCAGTATCCCCTCTGCTGATCTCCAGGCAGAGCCTGGCCCTGGCCGTCCCATCGATGCCAACTGCCCCCCAGGGTCT